TATATGTATGTATATATATATATGTATGTATATATATATATATATATATATATATATATATGTATATGTGTATATGTATATATACATGTAAATGTGTGTGCTTAGCAATTATACATAATTTAGTTAAATTGCAATACTATTTTGCATTGCAGTACTACACATGCTTATTGTTTGTGAAAATATGTTTTGCAGTACATCTATAACATTTTTTCTTGCAGTTTTGGGAGGTGAAATTGATTCATGAAAATCAAGTCACTACAAAAAAAATAAGCTTCTATTTTTATTATTAGTATTTTATTTTTATTATTATTTTACGTTCCTTTTTGGGGTGAAATATGACCAGGCATGTTCTTGATGGGCTTCATGAGATGCACCAATAATTAAAATAATTTCATTTTATTTTTACACTGGATAATTTACCTGTGGAGCTGTTCATGACAAACATATTAAAACAGCATGTCATTTTTAAAATGTAAGCTTTTATTAATCAAAGGGAAAAATGGTAATTTTACGTGCATGTAAAATAAATTATAATTTAAAAAAAAATGAAATAAATGCACCTTCCAGGAATACACGATTAAAACACAATCTGCAGGGAGAGAAGCAGTTAGAGTCAGAATGAGCGACAAGCCTGTAAGGAGCTATTTAATCAGGTTAGTTACTTTAACTACCAGATCTTATTGAATCACTACGCTTACCGTTTGGTTTAGGGCCCCGTTTTAGTACTCAAGCTTCCATGTTCCTAACAGTTACTGCTGAACCTTTAATACAATGCACATATTTTGTTGAATTGCGGTGTCTTACACGGTACAGGCTTATTCAGGTGAATCTGGTGCTGAACCATATTCCTCGCAGATTTCATAGGCGTTTTCCTTCGGATTCCCAAATCCGATGTTGTCGTGGTGCTCTTCGCAACCTGGAAAGCCAGCGCACGCTTGTACATACAAACACACTGATTAAAAGATGTACACACACTGGGAAAATGCAAGATCACAAAACGACAAAAAACTACTGGGCAACTTCAACTCATCCTTTTGTTTCTCTTTTATTCCTTTGTGTATGTTTTTTTTTCTGTACTGTGAATGGTAGTCTCTCTCGGACTGTATAATTGTGTATATAATTTGGGTTATTTATCATTTTAATGTTCTGCCTTTGTTATTTCTTTTGGTTTGTGATTGCTCTTATTTTGTATTGGAGCAGAGCACAACATGTGGAAAGTGTATGTACTTGACTCGCGGTCTAAAAAAAATGGTGCTACAATCTGTACAACTTTAGACTGTGCTTATTTATATTAAGATCATCATCAACAACAACAACAACAAGAAATGAATAAAGATTTTTTTGGTGCTTCTTTTACACAGGGATGTTTTCAAGCCTTGCGGCATTTATTTTTTCAATATTTATAATGTATTATTTGGCGCCCAGCATGAAACAGCCCCTGCCTGTTTGGATCAGTGCCGTTTTTATCTAGAAGAAACACCTTTTGGTCTTAATCGAACTTAAAGCAGCATGAAAGTACATTGCAGAACTTTATAGGATGATATAACTTTTTCTTTTGAAGTATTTACTTCAGTGGTGCTCCGAAATCGACCTGTGAGACAGGTAGTGAATGCTTTGAATTACACGCATGGCACACTGTTGAAACTGGTGTCATGTGGCGTTTCGTAACATTTTTGATTTCTCGTAAGGAGAACCTGTGCTAAGCCTGTTTGCCTACCGTCTTGGGCCCGTACGGCTCGGTGCTGTTTCTTAAAATCGTTGTTTTCTTCACAAATGTAAAGCAAACAGCTTCATCTTACACAAACTGGTGCTGCTGTTCACACAGATGTCGAAAATACCAGAGCGCCCGTACCAAAACCTACAATCCACTATCAAAGCCTGTCCTAGAGTGCGTCGTGTAACCTAGAGTTTGAGCCTATTGCGTATCGTGATGTGAAGTTGTTCTGATGTGACCGGTCGTAGATTTGGCTAGTGTTTTGTCAGTTGGCTAGTACTAGTGGTTGACCGATATGAGTTTTCCAATGACTGTTATCATATCTAGAGAATAGGCTAATGTAATGACGTATGTGAAATATCTGGACAATAAAACGGGTAGTTCACCAAACAAAAAAAAAGGCTTTGTCATTGTTTATTCACCCTCATGTCGTTCCAAACCTGTACGGCTTGCTTTATTCTGCGGAACACAAAAGAAAATATTTTGAAAAATGTGGAAAAACCCGCATTTTTGGGGTGCCAAAATTTGGACCCCATTGACTTTGTATGGACAATTTGGGAGATTTCAGCCTGCCTGATATATCGGTCCATCACTAACTGGTACAGCGTTAAAAAAAATAGTCATTGGCGTACAACATCGCCAACTTGGAAGACAAAGCAGGAGTGGATGTCGTCATTGTTTTGCTTCCTTGTTTCCTTTTATTGTGTTTTTGTTGCTTAAGTGTGTGCTCAAGGAAAAATCAACCTCACCTAAGCTTTAGTCAGAATGCTGTGTAAAGGACTATGGTGTATAATAATATTAAAAAACAAAATAAAAACAATGTGTAAATGGTCTTTCTGCCCGATTAACGTGAGGATATTTTGATGGAAAAAAATATTGACCAGTACATTGTTACCAACACTGAGTTTTTTTGTTTTTATAGTAATTAATAGTCATTGTTAATGTTACCTGTTTTAATGGCCAATTTGTGTTTTGATGTCTTTGCAACTGTTTATCAGTGATGGTTTTATGATTTCGTAATCCTGACCATTTTGGATACTCTATAGAACAGTAAGATGCTCTCCTACACTTTAAACAAGGAAAATGCAGCTATAAGATTCATGCACCTCTTGCATTACAAGGGGTA